ATAAATACAGTTTTTCTATGTATGTTTGTGTGGTTTTGAGTACTTTCTTTTCAGAGGATTGAGCTCTCTTTTTCTTTCTCATTCTTCCCATCTCCTCTCTCTTGCCCAGGTCTCTCCAGTGCATCAGTGGTACCTTATTTCCTTTTACAAATTTGAACAGTGATAGAAATTCATAGACATGGAAAATACCAGAGTACTATTTACTGCAGGTTTTTTCCTCACTCCTACCTCCATCCCCCCCAAAAAACCAAACAAAACCAAAAACACCTCATCATAGTTTTGACTCTCCAAGTAAACTAAAGATATCACCCAAAACATTCTCTGCATATTTTCTCCTGGTTGTAGTTAAAATATTCTACTAGTCTTAAGATACCTCACAAAGGAAATTCTGCATCATGGAATTTCAGTATCTCGCATCCCCTTAAGTAGAAAGGTTCTCCCATCTGTCTAATCTAACTACCTCTACTTGAAATATGTAACATTATTTTCTAGATCTTAGCTGTAGAGGAACAGATTATCAACTTCACTATTGTAATTTTTTTTTAATCTGAGTTTTGAAATCCATTAGGTAGCCCTCTGATGTCAATAAGGATTTATGGTATTTAGGACCATTTAATTGAGGCTATTTTCTAATCTTAAGTCTTCACAATTATAACCATTTCTCATACTTATCAGTTTCAATCAATCAGCAAACATTTATTAAGCACCTCCAACGTTGCAGACACTGTGCTAGGCCTTGAGGATACAAGTAATCAATCAATATTTATTAAGCTCTTATTGTGTGCCAGGCAGGCATCTAGATAGTACAGTGAATAGAATGCCAGTCCTGGAGTATGTTTTGGACATACTCCAGTATGTTCGGGAGTTCACATCTGGCTTAGACACTTAATTAGCAGTGTGACCTTGAGCAAGTCACTTAACCCTGTTTACCTCAGTTTCCTCATCTGTGAAATGAGAAGGAAATGGCAAACCACTCCAATGTCATTGCCAAGAAAACCACAAATGGGGTCACAAAGAGTAAGAAATGACTGAACATCAAAATGTGCCAGGTACTGTACTGAATACGTGAATAAAACAATTCCTACTTGCAAGGAACTTAAGTTCTATTGGAAGAAACAATAAGTACATATATAAATATGTACATCATAAATATAAAGTGAATAAATACAAATATGTGCTTCTAGGTCTATTCTACTTTTTCTGCACCCTATTAAAATAAGGAGACAGACACTCTAAGGTTAAATCACTAATAAGTAGTATAGTGGGTTTTTTTTTTTAAACAAAAGTATTACTTCTGGGTCAAGTGAGCAACAAGATGGAGGACTAGACATTTCCTCTTATCTGTATGACCTCAAAACCCCTAACGCAGAAATTATGAGACAATGACAAGACAACTCCATCTGTCTCCATGTACTAGGATACCCAGAATCTAAGAGAAGGTTAAAAAACAAAACCTAAAACCCATGAACTGATGCTCACTGACTCTGAGCTCACTGAGTACTTCTCCCCTACCTCCTGAACCCAGCATAGGCTTATAACAAAACTTAGCCCCTACACTTAGGCTCCCCACTCCCTCTTTCCATTACTACAGAGAATCTGGCTCTAGGCTATGGAAATTTGCTAAGGCTGCAACAGATAGTCAGTGGGGCCTCAGCCCTTCTGTATCAAAAGACTGCTTGGAGTGGCCAGCTGCATAGCACCGATGTTGGCAAAGCTCTGAACTGCCTGTGCCAGGGTAGAGAACTTGCATCACCATCAGCAGCTGTCTGCTGGTGCCACGTCAGAGAACTAAGAAACAAAGAGAGTGAGACAAGTCAGCAGGACAGGACACCGTTTATGTGTGTGTGTGTGGGGGGTGTACAGCACTCTCTCAAGACTGAGGGAAGGAACACAGAATCCAACTGGGGCCAGTGCTGACCTACCCAAAAGTCACTGGAGGCAAAGACAAGGCTGGTGAATGGTAAATTGTCCAATATGGGAGGATGCTGAGATGCTTTTAGATCGAGTCCCTAAGGAAACCACCATCAGAATGAATGGGGGAAAATGAGCGGGAAAAAACAGAAATTACCAAAGATCTCAGGAAGAAGAAAATGCAAAGACCTTGAACATAAGCAGATAAATCAATAAGGAAAATGTGAACAGCAGAAGGAAAAAAGACCTCCACATCTCGTGAACATATTTAGGCCTCAATGCCTAATACTGCAAAATGAAGGGAAATGATCCACCATTTAATGAAACAGAAGATCCTGTGGAATGAGAGAACACGGAATCATAACACAGCATTCCTGAGTGGTTAAAAAGAAAAAAGAGAATTAAGAGAGCAGAGTTTATGTCCTGCACAGCAAAAATAACAGGCAGAATTGAAAAATTGGAATCTGTGATGGCAAGACTCACCAAAGAAACAAAAAGGAGAACAATAGAATGGGAATACAAGTATATAGAAGTGAAGGCCAATCTAGAAAACAAGAAGCAAAAAATCAATAACATCAAAAGAAAATATACCCATTATGCAAGCAAAACATACTGATCTTGAAGACAGGATATGTTGAGAATAATCTAAGGATTATAGGTCTCCCAGAAGTGCATGACAGGACAAAGAACCTTAACACCATTAGTGCAAGATATAATAGAAGAAAACCACTCAGGACTTCTGAACACAGAAAATTAAATATTAATTGAAAGAATTCACAGATCACCTCCAGAAAAAAAAAACAAGGTGGCAAACTCCAAGACACATAATAATTAAATTTAACAATTCAATTTAGAAACAAGTTCTGCAAGCAATGAGGAAAAAGACCTTCAAATAAAAATTAAAAAAGGAAATTCATAAACTTCGACTATTCTGTACCTACCAGAAAACATAAGAGTGAATGTGTTCTGAAGTACAGTGGGGTTCAGTATGCAGCCCAGGATGACTTCTGAAAAAAAGATGGATGTTCAATAATAGACACTTGAAACATTTTTAGAACTTTTCCAAAAAGAAATAAAACCAGAACTGATGAGGTTATTGGTTCTTGAATACCCCAAACAACAAATATAAGAGGAGTGAATAAATGCAGGCAGCAGCTGTAACAGAATGATAGCAGAAAGACTAGTAAGAAACTTTTGTCTAAATAAATAAACAAAGAGATAGGAGTGAAGGCAGAAATCTGGTGGAGGTGACAGGAATGGAGCATTATGAGCAGAACCTGGTGACACCTGAATCAGGGTTTGTTATGTGGAACTACATTACAGCCTGGGAGGGTACATGCAAGTGGGGAGTGAGTAGGGGAGAAATTTGTTCTGTGACATTTGGATTCAGGCAAAGGGCCACACTTGAAGACCTAGAGGGCCACATGTGGTCTCTAGGCTGCAGGTTCCCCACCCTTGGCCTAGAATATAAGCTGTGATTGGATGAGGAATACAAAGAAAAGAGAGATCAGATGGTTATAGGGGTCATGAATCAGAGAATGACAGTCTAGAGTAGATAGAAGGAAGATGCAATAATGAATAGAGTGGGAGAAATCCTTTTTGAGAAAGGGTGTAAAAATGAAAATTTAAAAACTAATGAACTGGACTATATGAAGGGGAAGACAAAGAGGAATCTGCTTGATTAAGAAGGAAAAATGTGTGGAAGGGATTATATATCCAGATAAAAGCAGGAGAGAAAAAGGATAATAATAGTAATAAGCAAAACCCCAAAGGGAAAGGAGTAGCAAATGAGAGAATGGGACCAGAAGTGAGGAGAAGAGAGCCAGTGGAAATGGGACCATCTCAAAAAAGATTAAGGTAAAACAGTTGTTATGATGGAGAAAGTTCATACAGAGAGGCCACATGGTGTGATGGAAGGAATATTAAACTTGGAGAGTCATTACAGTTTAATGGAAAGAGCGTTGGAATTGGAGTTCAAATACTGGCCCTGTTCCTTTTACATATGTGACCTTGGGTCAGTCACTAACCTCTCTGGGCTTCAGTTTCCTCTTTTGTAAAATGAGGCATATTGAACTAGATCACCTCTATGGTCATTTCTGTCTCCAAATCTGTGAGCCTGCAGTTCAATAGACACATGATTTTGACCTCTGACCCTAGCTAGGTGACATTTGGCAGGTGAAGTTACCTCCCTGAGCCAGTGTTCTCATCCATGAAATGTTCTCATCCGTGAAATCATACTTGTACTGCTTACCTCTCAGGGTTATTTGAGAGAAGTGCTTTACAAAATTTTGATCATCTATGCAAATATACATTATATTTAGACAGTGCCATGTTCTTAAAGGATACAGGTATCTATTCAAAAAAACTTTTCCCCTAAAAACTATATTCCTCAAACATGAAATGGAAGGAGTTAACATAAAGGTGGTAGCAGCAGTAGGAAAGGAGAAGTAACAAGAAAGAATAGTGCCTGGCGCATAGTAGGCACTTAATAAATGCTTCTTGACTTGGAAAAAATATTGAAAGGATTCTCATAGGAAGAAAAACTGTTAAATGGTAAAAAATTCTACAGTCCCTATATTTGTCTGGTTAAATAAAATTTTAAAGGAACTTTGTTTTCTTTCATAGGAAATAGGAAAAGGAGTAGGAAAGAGAAAGGTCCTTAATGAGTTATGGGGTTCTTGAATTTCAGGAGTACTTTGGGGGGCAGTTCCTTCTACCAGGTACCTCTACCTGGTGGGATGTTGATAGCTAGTTTCTCTTGATTATTATCTGATCCCCATCAGCATTTCCTCAAGTGCCAGACTTTTTTTTTTTAATGATAATTTTGCTCAGGCTAATACATTTGAGCATTAATAGGATCATTACTTTAATTCATATTCATTATTACCTCTAGATTGTTTCTCCATCCAACTTGGCACCTGGCCAATCATTTCCATCTTATATTTAAAGCTATTTCCCCTTTCTGAGTCCACATTATTTTCCTTCTGTTTCTGTTGATTGTAACTTCATCCTACTGTTTAAAAATTTCTGGAGTTTTCTTGACGCACTAATGAATTACCACCCTCAGCCTTTATTTTTATTCTCCACAGTGAGAAGAGGAGATGTCCTAGCAGCTTGGAGTGGAATTCGGCCCCTGGTGACAGATCCGAAGTCTAAAGACACCCAGTCAATCTCTCGAAATCATGTTGTTGATACCAGTGAGAGTGGCCTTATTACTATAGCAGGTATGGGAAATTGAACTGGTGTTTCTTGAAGCTCAGATGATGGTCTCCAGTGAAAAGATTCCTACCTTGTGGGATCTGAATGAATGCCATTAAGAATGTCTGAATTGTTGCCATTATTGCGATCTGAATTAATGCTATTATGTTGTATTGCTATCTAAACCATGACCAAATGAATCACTTTATTACTAATGAAATTAATAACTGGTTAATTTTAAAAAAATCAAAATCTGGTGACTTATTTGCTTATACATGTTGTTTTTAGGTGGAAAATGGACAACTTACCGTTCTATGGCGGAAGATACTGTAGATACTGCTGTCAAAAATCACAATTTTAAAGTTGGGCCAAGTAGAACAACTGGCCTTTATCTGCAAGGTGGTAAGGATTGGAGCCCTACTCTGTACATTAGACTGGTTCAGGATTATGGACTTGAAAGTGAGGTATGTGTTTATTGCTTTTCATCTTCCTCTTTGCTTAAATAGATAATGATAAGAACAAAATCGGCCAGAGAGTGCCCTTTCTTGTGCATAGTTACATTTGCTGAGTACACATTTATGAGTAATACGATACTATGGTACCCAATAAGCTTTAATGAGAGAGAGAGAGAGAGAGAGAGAGAGAGAGAGAGAGAGAGAGAGAGAGAGAGAGAGAATGAATGAATGAATAAATCTCTCTTTTATTCAGGGCACCTTATAACCTGCATTCTTTCTGCATCAATTCCATAATAGATTTTCTGACTATATTTTCCCCTTTTGTTTTATCTGTTTATTTTTTTGAACAGTTGGCATGGCATCCTAAGTTTGTTACTTCTCAAGACCAATTGAATCTATTCTTCAGATGTGATCCTAGAGGTAGACTGAAGCTGAAGTATCATTACTCACTGATAACAGTGATACATGCTTCTTAGCTTTAGTGCTAGTCTAAGCATCCGGAGCTCAGGGAGTGTCCTCCTACACAATCAAAATCTAATACTCTCCTAAACCGATTTGTTACATGCCATGGGAACACTTGACAAGAAGTCCTTACATATGTTTTTTGTTTGCTTGTTTTTTTCTTTTTACCTAGGAGGTGCTGATATTCAAGGTCTTTGCCTAATGTGATTTCCTTTCTATAGGTGGCTCAACATCTTGCTTCTACTTATGGTGACAAAGCCTTCGAGGTAGCCAAAATAGCAAGTGTAACTGGAAAAAGATGGCCCATTGTTGGAGTACGGCTTGTGTCTGAATTCCCATACATTGAAGCAGAGGTATGAGGTTGGCTGCTTCTCAATGACCTATTTTCCCTTGGTGTCTGTGATGAATTCCACTCACTTTTATTGTGATTCTCCTCCTCCCTCAAATTAAGACATTGCTGGTTCTAAGGTTTAGTCTTCTTGAACATCTGCCAGAATCTGAAATAAGTGGCCATACAACTGTCATCTTTGTGGTTACCTTTTACATTTAATTCTAAAATTTGGGAGGATAGGGGTAGTAATATGAATTAAAGCAATAACAAGATACTGACAAAATTCTTTCTGTCCTTCAAGGACCAGCTTAAGTCACTGCTAACATTAAGCTTTTCCAAACCACTTCAATTCATAGTGATTTCTTGCTCTTCTGATCTCCTAGCACTTATCTGTACCACCTTTTGACATTCACATTCTACCTTGTGATATTTCTTATGATGTTTTAAATTGTTATTTAAAGTTTTCATGTGTTTATACATTGTTTGCCCGAAATAAATATTAATTCCTTGAGGGCAGGAGTATTATCTTATACTTTTTGTATCTCCCATAACACCCAGCACTGTTTGCAACTATGTGCTCAATCAGTATTTTATTGTTGATATGCTAATTTTATTGTCATCATAAGGAATGTATTAAGTGTGTGTATATATGCACACACACACACATATATATATATATGTATACATACATACATACACACACACACACACAAAATTCTTACTATTTGGTTATTTACGATCCAAGACAGGAAATACTATGGAGACTAAATTAAAGAAGTCTACAAATCATAGGAGTATAAGGGTTGGATAGGATAAGAATTATAGGTCATAGATTTAGAGCTAAACAGGACCTCAGAAGCTGTGTTTCATCCAAACCTTCTATTTTACATGTGAAGAAACTGAGGACTAAGATCTCATAGAACTGGGATTTGAATCCTACCTTCTGACAGAGATTTGTTGCTCTTTCTACTGTATCTGACCAAAGAACAAATAAAAAGAATTGAGTAAATAGTATTCATATTATGCATAAGCAGAGGGTACTCACTTTTCTGCTCATATAAGAAGATGGCAATTGAGAGGCAGGGGAGATTTGCATATATATGCCAGGTTATATTGAGAGCGAAGCTGCTCCTTTTCCAAGGAGTCAACTTTTCAAACTGTGGTTTGTCAGGAAGAGTGAAGTCATAGGCACTGTTACTGCTCATCTTAAACCAACTAGGTGACCCAACAGTATAAAACCAAACTTTTATCTTTCATGTACATGCATGTTTATGTGGGGGTTTTTTTGTACATGGCCAGTTGCCTTTAAACCTTTGGGTACAAAATAACTTTAAAAAATGTCAAACACAGGTGAAATATGGAATCAAAGAATATGCATGCACTGCAGTAGATATGATTTCACGCCGCACTCGACTTGCATTTCTGAATGTCCAGGCTGCAGAGGAAGCTCTACCTAAGATTGTTGAACTGATGGGAAGGGAACTGAATTGGAGTGAGGAAAAGAAAAAGGTATTGAATACAGAATTTTACCACCACATCTCTCCAATAAGCACATTGGCTCTCAGATAAAACACTTGGCTACTCTGTTGTGTTAGTGGGTGTTAGAGCATTCTCCATTAGATCTTTATACATTTTCATTGAAAACCTTCTTAGAATGTACCATGTAGTCAAACTCCTGTTTTCTGCCAATTACCTTTTCCCCTTTGGTAGCAAAAATGTTTTTATAGATGATTCTCTTAACAAGCAATATGAAATGATGGCCCCATTCCCAGACCTTCAAGTGCTTATTCAGTGAAGCCTCGTTTTAGATCCTCTATCCTCAGGCCAAAAGAAAGCCAATTTTTTCTAAGCCAAGGCTTAGATATAAAGAAGTGGTCTTACATATCACTATTAGGGATGAATCTGAGAAGGATAGTGTCTCAGTAGGAAAGTTTTTTATTACTTTATTTTCATCTATTTCAATTAGCTTCAACCATAGTAATTTTCAGAAGCGCAGACTTACTCATCTACCTTGATGCCATTGTCATGCATACAGGAAATAAAACCACTGTAAAACAAGGCCAAGAGCAAGTTTTGGTCTAACTCATTAGCTGTAGCCCTAAATGATTGGGATGACTTAATTTGCATTAAGAGGAAACAATAGAAAAGGTAAATACTTAAATTCACCACGTCCAGACTCAAACTCATTGTTTTTACTTTAGACCCTTCATCTATACTTCCTTATTTCTTTTGGGGGGCACCAACAGCTTTCTGGTCACTCAGGTTTACAAAATCTGAGTCATTTAGGGATGACTTTTTCTCATTCCCTGTAGCCAGCTGGTTGCTAAGTCTCTTCAATTCTGCCTCCACAATATTTTTGTCTCTCTACTCACATGGCTAACAATCCTAGCTGGGGCTAGCAGCATGGGATCACAATTAGGTAGAACCCTGGACCTGGAGTCAAGAAGAGCTGAGTTAAATTCTGGTCTCATAAACTTACTAGCTGTGTGAGACTGGGAAAGTTGTCTAGCCTCTGTCTACCTTAGTTTTCTGAACTGAAAAATGGGCATCATCACAGCACCTACCTCACAGAATTATTTTGAGGATAAAATAATATTTATAAAGCACTTACTATAGTGGCTAGCATGTAGTAGGCATTTAATAAATAACTTTCCCCCTTCCTTTCCCCTTGTCTTCATGGGATGGTAGATTTAAAATTGGAATGGATCTTATTTTACATATGAAGAAACTGAGGCTCATAGAGGATAAGTGACTTGACTGTGGTCACACAATTAATAAGGTTCTGAGGCAGGATTTGAACCTAGGTCTTCCTGATTCCAAACCCAGTCCTCTACTAACAAGCTGTTTTACATCTGAGCTGTTCTAATATCCTTCTAATGTGATCTTTCCTCTAGTCTGTCTCATCTCTAGTTTCTGATCCACTTAGCTGCCAGATTGATATTCCTGAAGAACAGATCTAACTCCATTAACCCCCTACTCATGAAGATTCACTGGTTTCCATTCATCTCTAGAATTAAACATAAATTTCTATTTGGCATTGAAAGCCAAACTTCCAGTTGCTAGCATCCTCCTCTACTCCTTTGTATTTGTTTTGTATGTGGTTTGTGTATGTTGTCTATGGTTTGCATTTATTTATCTGTATTTATGTCTTTACCCTCAGAAATATAAACTTCTTGAGGGCAAAAATTATTTTCTTTTGTCTTTATATTCCAAATGCTTTATAGAGTGCCTAGCAGAGAGTGAATGCATAATCGATGTTTGTTGAATAAATTAATACTAGCTCTTTGTAACCATAGTAGTCAACATATGGTGAATGATGTGATCAGAATGGTATACAGTGGGCCACAATCCTTCTGATTATTAAATTCAAAATAAAATTCAACAAACATTTATTAAACCCATACTATGTGCCAAGCACTGTTAGACATCAAGAAAAAAGGGCCTATTTTCTGCATATGTGTGCACACATAATTTTAATACAAGATAGGGAGAAGTGCAAGCAAAGGAGAGATTCAGGCCAAGGGAAATCTGAGAAGGGAAAGAAAGGAAACACATGAAAGGCTTAACAAAGAAGGTGGCATTAAAATTAAGGGAGAAAAGGTATTTTTGAATTCCAAGCCTAATAGAAGGGCTTGAAGGATAGATTTAAGCTTTTTGTTTTCTTTGTACGAGTTCTGTACCTAGTTTGTGCTGAAAAATATCTGTTAATCCTTTCCCAAACTCTTACCTCCAACACTCCCAAGGAATGAGAATTCAAAATAAATCCACTGCCTCCCAGTGGGTGGAATGTGATCAGTCTAGTTCGTAGAATTCTCTTCCTCCATCTCACTTCCCACAGTCTGAATTCCTGGCACAAATTGAATCAGCATCTCCTCACAACCAGATCTCAGGGCTCTCATTCTATTCCTGCACATTCAGATCATTCCACCCATAACTTTGTGGTGAATCAATAAGCCACAGTCCTTCTACATTGTAGAATGTTAGGGAAGGCACAGGAATACCCATCTTTCTATGTAGTTTTGAGAAGTAACTAGATGTTATCATGTCACTGGGGACTTATTTGGTTATTTGACTAGTACAGCTTTTTGCACATATACTGAAGCAATAAGTATTTATTGATGGATGGATGTACTCATAAGATGGAAACTGAAAAGATCCTATTCCATCCCTTGATCCTATTTTTTTCAATACTTCCATCAAAGTCCTAACGCCAGATTTCCTGCATTCCCACGTCATATTGTGACATCATTTTCACTCCTTGTGAAATGATGAGCATTGGAGTAGTTTGTACCGTCTCAATTAAGTACTTGCTCACTTTAAACCATTGCTAACATTATATTTGAGATGCCAACAGACACCAGATATGATAAATAATTTTGGATTCAATGAAGAAATACTCCTTCCTTCCTTTTATTTTTTAGGGGAATTTTTTCTTTTGTTCTTTCTTTTTGGTGAGGCAATCAGGGTTAAGTGACTTGCCTAGGGTCACATAGCTAGTAAATGTCAAGTGTCTGAGTTCGGATTTGAATTCAGGTCCGACTCCAAGGCCTGAGCTCTATCCACTGCGCCATCTAGCTGCCCCAACTTAGGGGAAATTTTTAAACAGAACTTAGACTTTGGAATTTCCTCTCCTTGACAGTAGGAATTACTTCACATTTGTCTTTGGTGCTTCCAGTTCTTTGTATGGTGCTGGGCACACACATACTGTAAGGGCTTATTAAATACATGTTGATTGATTGGATTGATAGAGCTTTGGGGATTTGATCTGTGTTTTAGGAGGAACTTGATTGTGCAACAAGATTTCTTTACTATGAAATGGGCTACAAGTCTCGGTCAGAGCAGCTAACGCCCTGTTCTGAAATTAGCCTACAGCCTGCTGATATTGAGAGGTACATTCACCATCTTTTAAATTTCCTTCACTCCGAATTTTAAAAAAGATTTCTAATATGAGCAAAGTTTTCCATTAATGATCATTATTTTTCAGGTACAAAAAGAGATTTCACATGTTTGATAAAGAGCAAAAAGGCTTTATTACCATAGTTGATGTTCAGCGTGTGCTAGAGGTAACTTTCTTTGTTTGGACTTTAGAATCTTTAAAATAATAGAAAGCTAGAATTTGTGATTCATTAATTCTACCTCTACTTTTCTTTCATTTAGAGTGTCAATATTCAAATGAATCAGAATACACTACATGAAATTCTCAATGAAGTAGATTTGAATAAAAATGGATTGGTTGAACTCGATGAGTTTTTGCAGGTGAGTTGTGGCTGTTTCTTTTTTTTTAAATGACAAATGACAAAAAAAATTAATAACCTGAAAATATCTTCTTATCTCTGAAAGGTCACATTATTTAACTTGTTCTAAGAAATAGACCACTAAGTACACATAGTTGGTATTGCCTTTTACCACTGAAAAATGAAGTAGATTAAAAGTCAGAAATGCATTTGTGTGTGTGTGTGTGTATGTGTGTGTGTGTATGTGTGTGTGTGTGCATGTGTGTGTGTTTTGATTGGACCTGTGATTTGATTGGTTTAGGAAACTGCCTGGTGAGGAAACTCCCTTTCCAATGAGGATCAATACCTTCTTTTCTGCTTATAGTATTAGAGAATTGCCTAGATACCTGAGGGGTTAAGTGATTTGGCCAGGGTCACTCAGTCAGAAGTGAGACTTAAACATGGTCTTCCTGGCTTCAAGACTTTCTTTTCATCCACGACAGTATGCTCTGTACCTGTGTATGCAGGCCCACTCATACACATCCATCTCTTTTCTCTCTCTCTCACACACACACACACACACACACAAGCATATATGTGTATACATATGTACACATACAGAAACATTTTGAGGGCTTGAGGAAGGAGGAGACTAGAAATGTTTCAGGGAGAAATCAGAAAAAGCCTTCTATCTGCCTATATCTATATTTGTGAATATAGAAAAATCAGTGTCCATAGCTTTCTCAAGTAGTCTATATGAGCTGATGAAGAGCCTCTGTGATATAAAACATTTTTTCTTTTTTCTTAGTTATTCATGTTTCTCATAATTAAAAGAACAAACCACTCAAATATATTGGGCCATTTAGATTAAATATGGCTCTGAATAGGGTTAAGGGCTTAACCCAGGACCATATTTTTTTTTTTAAGAACAGATCAATATCCCTTTTAGAGTAGCCATTGCCCAACTTTACCAGATGACCCAACATGTCTTTAGATACATTTAATATCTTAAATATGCATTATTTAGCACTTAAAAAACAAAAAGAAACAAAACTGTGTTGTAGGCTTTTAGGTATTACTTATGCTTCAAGAAACTTGAAAAGCAACCCAAAGGGAAAAAAAAATGTATGTTTTAATTTCAAGGCCCTATCTATGATCACATATAATTCAAATATTTATGTTCTTTGTAATTCCATACTTGGGTCCCAATTCTTTAATATATTAATTGATGATAGGAACTTCACATTTTCACTCCATAAGGCAACTGGGCATGAAGATCATTAATCCTCATAAATATCTCTAAAGAAGGAAATAAAATAAAGCAAGATGACCAGCACTGTATTTGTATCTATCTACCTTACTCTACTTATGAAGAGTTTATTTGTTCCTTACTGGTTAGGTTTGTTTTTGTAGTCTTTCTTGGGTAGGTATTTCAAATGACTGCCAGGTTCTTGTTGCATCATGGCAATGATGAATGCCGAACATGAGGTAAATTAATGCTGGGGATTTTGGTCAATGTCAGCCCTTTCTTCACTGTGTCAAGTTAAACAAACAAGATCAAGGCAAAGGAAATGGTAATTGTCTCTCTGGAGATGAGCTGCAGATAAGAGCATTGTTGAATCTAAATGTAAAAAATTTCCACAGGTTGTGTCCAGCATTACAAAAAAGAGTTTCATCCCTGTAAAACCTAGTTCTTTAACTAAAACAGGCTTCAAAATAAATCCAGGCTATCATTTTGACTTTTAAAATGGAAACCACATGATGCCTTTTCTTTGTAATTTTCAGGAAAATTAAAAAAAATTTTTATAGATTTTTGGAAAATGTTCCATCAAGTAAAATCACGTACTTTCTGCCATGTTAAAAATCCTTTTAAAAAATTTAGTGTTGAAAAAACTAATATTTACATTGTACTTGAAGAGGGCCTCACAGAGGGCTTCCTTCACAAAAATCACTACCCCATTTTACAGATGAGAATACCAACATTCCGTGAGGTTGAATAATTTGCCCTCATTGATATGGGGAATGAATCATCAGAGTCAGAATTTGGACAGAGGTCTTCTAACTCCAGTCCCACTAAGCTTTGTTTAGAAATCCAACATCATAGATGGCATGAGTTGTGGTGTTTAGTACTTGAGTTAATTTGAATGGAGCATAGTTGAAAAAAATTGATGCTAAATTGATGCTCTTTCTACATGTTTTATTATAGAATCTCTTGGTGATCAGGCTTTAACTTTTCCAATTATCCATGAAAACAAATCTGTATTCTAAATACAAATGCTATAAGTACTTTAAAGCCTTTTTTTAAAAGTTAAAGATAATATATCTTATTGGATCCATAGAAACCTGTAATAGTTTCTCCATATAAAATGATATTTGAGTGCTTTTAAAATTGACAATGGATCATAACAGAAGATAGTATTTTAGATATGACACCATATTCAAATTGACTCTAGTTAAAAAGATAACTTTCACTCAAGATGATCATTTGTTGCAATAGAGTTTAAGTAATTTGTAGACTAATAGTCTAAGCAATAAGCTATTTATGTAAGAATTTGTTTTTATGTCTTCAGCTGTTAAAACTCTAGAAGGACCACAATTAAAGAATACCTCAGAAGACCAAGCTATATCAGCTGATGCAATGCATTTGCACATACTGGGTAGGATGAAAAGTTTTATTTCCAAGTAAAATTATATATTTACTTATAATTCTTTGTATTTAAAGTGCATTTGAACAGATAGGGGAAATTGAAATAAATTATAGTAAATTATAAAAAAAAGATTTAAAAATTCGTGTGTCAGTTGACACACCTGGTTCTTCTAGTGTTTTAATGGTTTGTGCCAAATAATGAGCATGGGATGTCTTCTCTAAAATGGTCACAAGTGATTGAAAACAAAGTTTGTCTTATACCCTTTAACCCCCACCCCCTACTGTGACTCTTTCTTTTTAACATAGGGTAGATTCTAGCTTGATGTGGAAGTAGGCTAAAAATCTTTCCTTTTTCTGAAGATATATAGCCTAGATTTATCTTAATCTTATTGACTAGAAAGACTATTTCTAGACAATCCTTTTGTTTGAACAGTCATAGATGTATGAGTCTACAACTTGGGGGCTCAGGATTTTGGGGCTCTGTTGCAATTAACAATCCAAACCTTTGAAATAATGCCTTATGAAACACTCTTTGGTGTTAGGATCTGAATAGTCCATTTCTATCCTTGGAAGTTGTTAATATATAAAAGGGATGAAATGTGAAATCCAAAATGTGTAAATGTATTAAAGAGCACTGTAGTCAGTTGTATTTCAGGTGTGGTTAACGGCCAGAGCTATCAAGAAATAAAAAGAAAAGTTATTGGGGAGGATAGAAAGAGGGAAAGCAAATCATAAAAAAAAACTGGCAAGTCTTGGGCAGGAAAAAGGAAAAAAAAACACATACAACATAATTGCCTAGTGCTTTCTACATGAAAATGTCCTTTGCAGCTGAGTGCGTGTAATTTTGAGACTAATTCTGATTTTATCCATTGGATAAAAAAAAATTAACTAAAATCTGAGCACTGGAGTTTATTAATTCTTTAAGGTAGATCTTTGGGTCCAGTTCAAGGACTTAAATGAAAATTACTTTGAAAAGTCTTTAAGGAATTTGACTTTAGAAATATTGAAGGAGTCAAGTACACTATCATTCACCCACATTCCACTTGTTAAATATGGAGTCACTGATATGTGGATTGTTTTGTCTTTATCCTATCTCTAGTATTGCTTTACATTTTTCCAAATGAAATTTAAAATCCAAGATTTAAGATACTCTCAAACACTCAAGTGCTTTGAACACATAGAGGAGTAACAAGTAAGGTTAGCTGTCAAAGACAGATGATTTACTGGATAGACGTTTCTGTCGAAATGATCTACCTCCCTTCCTGTTTGAAATTCACCAAAATGGAAGCTTTTTTTTTTTTTTTTGCTTCTGCTGTCTGTAGCACCTGCTATGGTTTTTGATAGAGACCTCATTTATCTCAGCTTACAGTTTTAGTAACTATTAAAGTGCTGTTCAGAATTGAATGAGCTGGCCGTGGGGTGTGTGTGTGTGTGTGTGTGTGTGTGTGTGTGTGTGTGGTGTAGGTGTATATGTATGTTTTAACGTCTCAAATGCTTTTTCTTTAAGCTGATGAGCGCTATTCAAAAAGGAATGGTATCTGGAAGCCGTCTAGCAGTACTCATGAAGACTGCAGAAGAAAGTCTGGGTTCAAGAGCTCCCATTCCAGTGGATAGGAGTTGTGGAGGATTGTGAGTCTGAACAGTTCACAAAACAAAAACAAAAACCAGCAAACATGGAAAAACAACAGCAACAAAGCACTATGCTAGAAACAACTAGGAACAACTCTTAGTTCTCCAAACTAGTGGATGTGTATAGCTGCTTTTTTTTTTTAACCACTGGAAACATTCCAAAGCTCTAAGATATCTCTGTGTATGCCCTTGATACATATTTGCCATTCAGCATAGCCTATAAGAGAGGCAGTTTACCTTTATTTTTCATGCAGATTCTAATACTGTACTTCTGGCCTGATAGACTAGACATGCTTTTCTCAGTTCTCAAAGCCGAATGTTTTGGCAGAAATTCAAGGAAGAACTTGGAAGAGATTTGCTGACACATACCTGTGTTCATTAAACTTTTAGATAGCCTTTACTCTTGAAAAAGAAAGGGCATGCAGAATGACCCCTTTGGAAATGATACTGTTTCTGAGGATTTCTTCCTTCTGCCTTGTTCCCTCTGCCTCGCATTCACAATATTGTTCAATTTTCTATCTCAGGTGTGACTGCCAAAACTAAAAAAAGTTTAGATCTGGTTTCAGGAGTAAGTTACAAAGAGAAACTGAAAGCTTCCCAAATCACAGGTATAGATAAGGATAGCATTGACATTTACTGAATCTTACAGTGATAGTTTCATCTCGGCAGTTCATTTTTTTTTCAGTGGCTGCTGGTTTTCTTTGACTGCTGAAGTTGCCAGGAAGATCCTTGATTTCTTTGCTTTGAGACTAGCATGGAAGTGGCACATTTGGATATAGCAAGGATGAGCCCAAATTTTCCATCTCCTTATAGTAGTACTATAATGGTAGAAATGTATTTCTACAAGCACATGTTTAAAAAAAAAAGGCACAAGTTTCAAGCCCTAGATCTTACCTATGAGTGTGTGATATTGTCTAATATTGGTTTAGACTGATCCCTGTTGCACTGGTTTTGCTCACTTAGCAAAGAAATGGGGGGGGGGAGTAGAAATAAAATATCTTAGTTTGCTCTGATTCTAAATATTAACCACAAGCACAGAGTTGCATTGTTTTTTTTTAAATCCTTAAAAGTATTTTCCCTTTTGTCCTCTTATAGAAAAAAAACTTGACATTTTAAGTAAGGACGGTTTAGGAATATTTTTGCTGCTACTTGGTTCTAGTTGTGCTCCCTTCATCTGGTAGTTTGTCCCTTGGCCCTTCCCAGTGTGAATTGAACCCACAGAAGCTTTTGCAAAGATCAGGTTCTGTATATAGAAGCAAATATCACACTTTGATGGCAGCTCTTACTACCATGATTGGAAATCTTAGTTATAAAAAACTGGCACACAAGTTGACAAACCACAGCACAGCAGTCTTTTCTGTTAACATAAGATCAGATCTTAATGCCTCTCTCTTAGTATTTATGTCACCATTAAGACTGTGAATGGTGAGATTCAAAAAATAGTAGTATGCCTCAAAATAGAATTTTTAAAAAGACCACTTATGTTCTGTAAACATTTATTAAGTGATTACCACTTGCATGGCACTATACAAGGCTACAGAGATGGAAAACAACCTGCCCACAAGGAGCTTAGGTTCATGTGTTTGCCACAAGGGAGTATGAAACCAAAACCAAGGTAGCGATACTTCTAGAAGTCACTGTGATATTCTTTTCTTTCAAAATTACAGCCAATATTTTTAATAAATGATGGCTGAAATAGGGCAATTCAGCATTGTTTTCAAAACATTATGAATTTCTCTGTCTAAAGCTAAGTAAACTCTAACAGACGGAAAAGTTATTTTTAAAATATATTTTTTATGCGTGTGTGCCTCTGGGATGAAATATTGTAATATTGTATGTTTGGTTTCCCTCTCTTTCTCTTCCTCTAGTTAAATCAAGATAATGATGACTTGTATCTCCCTGAACCTAATACAGTAGGAAACTGACTTCTTTTGCTTAGGAACCTGCAGATCCTTTTGCCAGATCTGCATTTGTTAAATAGGCCTTGTGCATGTTTAGCTGTGTGTGAGGTCTTGTATCAGTTTTCTCCTAAAGTCTACTGATTCTGAACCTGTATTTCTTCACAAGATCCAGACACCTGTTTTGGGAATTGGCTGGTGCCAAACTTTTTTTTTAACTATGAATAAAGCAAACAAGTATTTTGTGTCATGTCTAAATGAACATTTGAGGGCTTACCAGATAATAATTTTTGGACAAATCAAGTACTTCCTGAAACCTGTTCCAGTTAGTCCCACAAACTGACTTTTGAGATCCTTTTTAAAGAGGTTCAGCTGAAAAAAAAATCCTGTATGTAGTGAACACTTTATAGGCTATGGCTAAAATTAGTTTCCCCACTATAGTTGTAGCAATAGTGATAACAGAAGACTAATTTATAGGCCATAGTTGTTTGCCACATACCCCATGTACCATTTCTTGCTTTCAATCAATGTATCTTGAGTGGAACCTCGGGATTTCTACTGCATGCTCCTTTATTCTGCTAAATTCTGGCTTTGTTTGGCCTTTCCTCATGGTATGTGGAATGCTAGCTGTATCTTGTTCTATGGCAAAAATTGCACTCTTATTTGTGAGATGTTAAAAAATGCAAGGATCGATCATTGAATTAATTATCCCACATTTTATGTATTTAAGAAAAAGCTGTTGGCATATGAATGTAATAATGGTGAAACCCAATGCAGTTGTATCTTTGTACTGTTTTGCATTATTTCAGTCCTATGGGTGGTCCAGGGGAGAACTGTCCTTATTATGTGTGAAACCAGAAACAAAATACTGACAGCTACAAGCTCTGTGCTGGCCTGGATAGACAAACTGCATGTTTTTACATGTGGCACTTTTATGTATTATGTAGGTTATTGTTCTAGATTGGACTGTTAAATACTGTGTTTGAGGCTGGGTTGTCATTTTTATAACTGTCTTGGTGTTTTATTGCCATTATTTATTACTTTTGATATACAGAATGAGCTGCATGCATTTATAGAGCAATAAGAGGATGTATTTAATGTGCCTTGTTTTTAACTGAATAAGAACTGAAAGCATGAATCAATAAAACTGATTAAAATGGTCCATTCACTGGCATTTTGATGTTCCTGGCAGTCACAGAAATAACTTTGATTAGTCCTGAAGTTAAAAAAAAAGTTTGAAAAATGTTTTAAGAAACTATATTTTTAGAATGACATTTACTTGTTAATTTTTTCTAGCTCTGAATTTTGCAATGCTATATCAGAAGTGAAATCTCTGCATTAGACAGATTTAATTTTTATGAGATAGCCTGAATTATTTGTATTAATTTGTAGCTGAAGCCTTTGGGGTATGAGTTCTGTATTTGTGCAATCCTGTTTTAAAATTACATCCAGCCTATTACAGCACTGTTGGGTTTTTTGTCAACCAGAGCCTTTCTGACTAAGCGTTCCCATGCACACTGATGAATTTTATCATAACTAAAATCAATAGAAATGAATGGGAAAGATTACATAATCCATTTTGATCATCTTACATGTCAAGTTAGTGCAGGGATGCCAAGTGTTGATAAATGCTCTGACGGAAAAAATGCTATATATTTTCATTGTCAGTAAATCAGTAAAGCTCTTATCAGTTTAAACACAAATTTTAGAATGCCTGTATTATTTTATAGGTTTTTAATTCACACATATAAAAGAGAACATCTCCTGCACTTATAGTTTAGACCTGCTGCATGAAAGCATTGTGTGTTCAAGTGCATATGTGCTCTTCGGAAGATTCCATGAAATTGTTGTGAGAACACTTAGAAGTATGAGCTTATAGACAGGCTTGTAACAAAGGATAGTCTGTTCGATGTCTGGAAGAAACTTGTCAGTGGAAAACGTTTTTTTCCACTGAGCTTTTGTGTCAAATCCTAGAAGATTTAAAATATGCCAGAATATGTTGATCTTACCTTTTAAAAACAATCCAAAATTTAGTATATTCAAAGGAATAGGAAATATAACATTGTCATCAGTATTTTTAGTTGGTGTCTAAACTGAATACATCTTACCTGTCCCAGTATTCAGCTAATGATATGGTAAAGTTGGAAAAATCAGCAGAATCCATGGTACTCTCACAAGGAAAGGATTTCTATTTTATTAAGTAGAGTTAATGAGGCTTTTGTGAATTTCCTTTATTTTTTAGGCCCTTGATTAGTGACCTAACTTAGGAACAGAAATGCAGACAGCAAGATATAAAGGGGGCTTTGATAACTCCGGAGATGTTCTCACAGATACTAAATAGAGCAGAGAATTTTGTATGTAGAACTTTTCCTAAGTCTCAGTATAGTTTTTCAATCCCTTAGTTACTTAGCCTATAAGAATTGATTTGTTTGAGCTATGTAAAATATTGCCTTAAGGGAATTAACAGGACAAAGCTTCAATTTTTCATATGTATATGTGTACATATATATGTATATGTGTGTATATATATATATATATATATGTATATATAATAATAACTAACATTTATACAGCCAGGCAGTATGCTAAGCACTTTACAATTATTATCCCACTTGGGCCTCACAGCAACTCTTGGAGGTAGGTCCTATTATATCCCCTTTTTACAGATGAGGAAACACTTGGCATTGAAGTGCCCTGTATCTTAGGACCCTAGATTAGAGGACAAATCCTGCCTGCCAGTTCCTTCTTACCTGTTGAGTTTTTATATCCTAACCAGTTGAATCTACAGTTTCAGTAAAATTTAAGGTATTTACCCTGCCTCACTAATACCTGCAAATTTTTAAGTTAATAGAAATAAAGAATGAAAACCATAATCAATGTTTTGTACATTTAGAGCCTGGTACTTGATATAAATATTTGAAAAAGCTTGGAACTAAGGTGATTTAGCCATTGGGCATATGTGCTCAATATACCTAATTATATATGGTAGCAAAAACTGCTACCTTAAAATAAACAAACGAAAAAACCCTCACTCTTAAAACCCAGCCCTCATAAATTAGGTAATATAGCACAGCTAGAAGGTTTTAAAAACTTTTCAAATTGATTTCTACAATTTATATTGTTTTTGTTTATTGATTTAAGCCTTCATTTGGGGATGGATGCCAGGAAGAGGATAGTAGACTTTCTTTGGGCATAGGTGCTGTAAGATAAATATACTTAAGGAGATTTTCCTTTAGAGTAGGGGGCCACTTTTTCATAGTAATATATATTTTTTTGGTGCTGTTATATTTAGCTTGATGTTGGATTCCCCCCCCTCCATTTCTTTAACTAAATATGGCACCTTTAATCTGGTTTTACAAAGCTACCTTCATCTGTTTGTCTATGTGATGCAAATGTAATTAGCTTGATCACTGTATCTGACACACACACCGATTTTACTCCTTTTACTTTAAGTCAAACTTGAAGGGCGAAGCAAGCAGTTCCTTCTCTGCCACCATCTTCCATTTCCCTTAGAATAGCGATTCCTCTCCTTAATTTGCTCTGTTGGTTAGAATTGTTCTCTCGCTACAGCAATGAGATTCATTTTTTTTTGTTTTGTTTTTGCATTCCTACCATTAATTGATTCGCAATTCATTTTTATGCATGCTGAGTTTTTCCTGTCGAAGTTAAGAAGCTGTAAATTTCAGATCTATTGAAATGACAGTGAGAAATATTTCATTTTACCCCATGAATCATTTGCCATCCTTATTGCAGAAAAATGGCAAAATTATGGTGTGCCATGTTTTCAGAAATTACTATGTTTTTCCCATCCCCAGTTCATTTCATTATTTGTTTGGAAACACTGTGAGATTAAGAAATTGAAACTCTCTTGATCAACAATGCTGGTTTTACAGATGGCTAACCAAAATGACATACTAGAACAACTTATTTAATTCTAATAATGTAAGGAATTCGATGCATGTATAAAATAAAATAGTTTTACGCTCTAAACATTGCTTAAGCATAAAGTAGTTTCACAGACATGCTAGTAATAGTAAAAACGGGAAATATTGCTGAATTCTTTAAATAATGCATATAATTTTCATTGGGTTGCATATGTCAAAGTAG